TTTCTATAAACTCTATACTTTTTTTTTTTTTTTTTTTTCTCCTCGATAGTAATTTATGCATATTTTTTTTTTTATTCCTTTTTAAAACATATTTATTTTTGTAATAGTAGTTTTAAGACTGAAAAATAAATCAATCAGTACTATTTGAGGGCAATGATAACCATCAGCAGTTTTTTGCACCTAAACCCAAAACAACAACAACAACAAAGGAGTATGAATTCATGACTCCTGAGAACTATAAAATAAACGGTTTTTCTTTTTTTTTTTTTTTTTTTTATCTGTTGACGATTTCAAATCTGCCAAATTTTAGGATATAGTGGTAAAATATTATTTGATAATTGTGGTTAAAGACAGCCACAGATAAGGCTATCGTTAGAAATCATATTCCACAAAACCGCACCGTATCCCCACACCCACACTACAATATTTATTTTAACAGATCATTTCCAGCAGGATGTGAAAGCGCTTATTGTCTATCAGAGGTGTAGATATATACATACATATATATATATATATATATATATATATATATATATATATACATACATATATATATATATATATATATATATATATATATATTCTATTTTTTTTTTATTATTGAAATTTACAACTATTAAATGATAAATACAAGTAAATATGAAACAAGTAACATGACACACAGGCGGATTTACGGGTGGAGGGGCTTTCGGGCTGAAGCCCCCCAAAATGGTAAAATGTAATCATGTTTTATGTTAAAAAATATAAAAAAATTATGTCTTAAAGCATTATTGGTCGTTTAATTACATTTAATAGGACTTCAAGAATCACATAAACTTCATTTCATATAGGTAGTTAGTAATTATCGTTATATATATAAAAAAAATGTAGTGTAGGCTGTAGCCCTCCCCCACCCCAAAATTAAATCCTGGATCCGCTAGTGACATGACATGTACAATATGAAGAGAAAATACCCATTGGTAGCACTCCAATTGCATTTCTATATTAGAAGGTCCCGATGCCATCTTCTTTTCAGACGCATCGGAGCCGTTATCAGGAATAGAAGAGGAACCAAGGTTGGAAACAAGAGGGTGGTTCAAAAGTTTATTATAGAAGGATAAATATTTGGATTCAGATAAATCGGAAAAATATGGTACATTAAGGTCTTTACTGATGATTTTATTTGTGACAAAGTAGGGAGCATTGAGGATTTTACGAAGGATTTTGGAATGTAGAGCCCCAAATCTCAACTCCGTAAGTCCATATAGGTCTTATTATAGTCATATATATGAGTAATTAACTGAAAGCTTAGAAAGTTTTTCTAGTAAGTGCTGGAGTAGTCGGAAACATCAAGCGTTTCTTGTCGTTTAAGTCTGGTATGGGAGTTCCAAGTTAGACGTTCGTCCAAGTGGAATTCAAGGTATTTTTGTATTTTAGATACTCAAAATTCATTATCGAATTGTGTAGATCTCCATGAAGAATTGTAACAAGGCTGATAGCATAATATAACCCATTTTCTCATAAAATTAAACCTAATTTTTAAGGAATAAGAAGTAAAGCGACACTTCATGAGGCTTTTGTATTTTTGTTTAAAATATTTTCGACATTTTTAATTTGAAATACTTTTTCTGAAAACGATTTAAATACATTATATTTAAAATACACTGAGTTTTAAAATAATAATTAAATTTATTATTAAGACGGAATAGTTACTGATAAATTAGCAATGAAGTAAATTTTAATTCTGTATTTTAAAATAATAATTATAATACTTTATTCCCAGGTCTGTTTTAAGACATCGTGTCAGAGATTTCCAAGAGAAAAAATAAAATAAACTATTAGTTTTGAGCATTTCTTTGTACAGTATTTTTCGAAACTCAACAGAAAAGTAATTTTCGTCTGGTTCCCGAAGATCACGTCCGACTTCACCTAATTTGTGGACTCAAACTGATTACCTTCCACTAATGACATCAACGTCTTCCGAATAGGTTTCGGATAAAGGATATTGGATTTTTTCTTACCTTACCCTCATCCAGGTATGAAATTACTAATTATGCTAATTTTCGATTTTTCACTTGTTACTTTCCAAGTTGTTTATTTTGGAACATTGTTGTCGAGACTCCTGATTCAAGGATAAAGGTAATCGATTTTGTTCGATATACCTGGGACTAACATTTGTCTAAACAAAACATTTTATCCAAAAGATTACAATGAACTTGGGGTAGTAGAATAAATATCTATTAATTGTAAATTTCTATAGAAAATACCATCCTTATTATGGAAACTACCTATATGAAAAGTTATATATATATATAAAAAAAAAGAAACAGTTCATAGTTGATTTTTTTAAATTTTGTTTATAGCACTAATGATATAAAACGAAATGAAAATTTGTTTTTATTATCCTGGGACTGTTGTCCCAATGATGATGATTCTCTGATCAAAACACATTTTCTGACTTCATTTCTTCACAAAATCCTGAATTTTACAATTCTGGGATTCAAAAGTTTATAATACATTGGGGAAAATTTATAGATAATGAGAGTAAATATTTTGAAGAAGTATGTTTTGATTTCATAAAGTTTTTTTACTAAATAAATCTTTCCTATAAAAACTGAAATTTCATATGAAACGACCGAATAACAAATTTGTTTACAGTCCCTATCAATACCGTCCAATTTTCTTTCGAAATTAAGATAATGGAAAATTTGGTATTTTTTGGCTTATGCCGCCGTAATTATTATAGTTATAAATTTCTCCGTTGGAATTTAGAATATCTAGGGTTTCCTTTTTCTATTTAGCACTTGGATAATATTCAGTTATGCTGGTATAATACATTTAAAGTCCCCTGTCCATGACTGTTGCGTTCACCATAAATGCTATACACACCATGCTGTTGAATGGTGTAAAAAAAGTAAATAATAAGCTTCCTTGTTGATTTAAAGGTCCCAGTTTTTTCTGGATTAAAGAGCATTGCCCTCTATTGACAACTGTATAAATAAAGTTCCCAAAAATTTTAAAATGCCTATCATTTTTGTTTCTATAGTGCTCTTGAGATCAGTATGTTTCATACCTTTTTACTAACAGTTTTGCTAAGAGTAAGTGGAATATTTATGTTATCTAATCTTTATAGTTAAATAAACATTTTAGAATTTTTCTGAAGTTTGTCTATTACTGGTACCTACCTCTCTCCATTACTAGAACAATTGAATTTCTGGGTGTCCATCACTAGTGCAAAAAGTGTTTTTTTTTTTAGTGGAGGTTATGCCTCCATAACTGAATATTTTTTAAATTTTAAAAAGAAAAAGGTCACCCTAGAGATTCGAAATGTCCAACGGGGAAGTTTATAATTATATTAATTACGGCGGCATAAGCAGTGTAAATAATCTGGTGTCTCCACTCGCACGACTTTTACATATTTCAGAAAAGTTTTTATATCTTTACATATGTCAATATTATTTTCCTGATAATTGATCAAAGAAAAGATTTTAGTACGAATTATTTGATGAACAAGCAATATAAAGCAATGTAAACCGGCTTAAGGTAGATCAGTGTACAAATATCAATAATATTGCTGATAAAAACTTTTTGCCATAGCCTAATTTTGTCAAACAATAATTTCTGTTAAAAGTAAAGGAAATAATGAAGCTTGTGTGATGCGGGCAACAGATTTTCTTACTTTCATTTGGTTATCTTTTTTCTCTCATTCGTCCCTTTCTGACACCAGGAACATGAACTGACACATGTACTCGATATCTTATTTTGGAAATTTAATAGCTGTAACTTCGTTAATAGTTGTCTGAAATAAACCATTTTTATATAGTTTTGTAGAGAATTTCATTACCTTTCACAAAAAAAAAAAAAAAAAAAAAAAAACTAAGGATGCTCTGAAACGTATAGATTCGTCGAAGAAATTATAATAACATTTTTTTTTTTATAATTTAATTACCATTCAAAAGTTTTATTATAAATTTTACCATAGAATATCTACTAAGCGAGTTAGGCCCCAAAACATTTTTCTTTTCATTATAATTCCAATTATTGGTGATTCCAATTATTGGACTAAACTTTTTTTTTTTCATTAGTAATATGCTAAAAAAAATATACTGGAGTGTCCACTCACACGACTTTCCTACCTATTTCAAAAAAAATTTTATATCTTTACATATGTTCATGAAGAAACAAAAAAGAATTGAACTACATTTATTTTCCTGAAAATTGATCAAACATAAGATTTGAGTACAATTTATTAGATAAACTAAGGCAATGAAACCGGCTTAAGGTAGATCAGTGTAAAAATGTCGATACTCACTAATATTGCTGATAAAAAACTTATTGCTATAGCTTAGTATTGTCAAAAAATAATTTCTGTTAAAAGTAGAGGAAATAGTGAAGATTGTGTGATGCGGGCTACAGTAAACTCGTAATCTTTCATTGAAAATTGAATAGCTGTAATTTCGTTAATAGTTGTCCAAAATGAACGATTTTTATATGGCTTTGTAGGGAATTTCATTACCTTTCAAACGATAGGCTAACATAAGGGTGTTTTTCGGGAATTTAGTCCATATACAAAAATTGAAAGGATAATTATTAGAAAATTATAGGAAAGTTTCATCAAAATCGTTAGAGCCATTTTTGCGCAACAGTCTATAGAAGAACATGTTTTCCATTTATTGCGTATAGAGCATCCAATTTGAGTCACAGGCATCAGTAGTCCAAACCCTTCAAAATAAGAAAAGAAGCAACAAAATAGGTTCAATATTTTCCGAGAAAAGCTTGGCACAGACAGACCAATGGCTAAAAATGTGTTTTTCGGACTCAGGGGGCTCTGAAACGTATAGATCCGTCGAAAGCCGCATATCGGAAATTTGGCCCGATCGCAATACTTTCCTTGCCTAGTATAGGTAGGAAACTAAAAAGACAAAAATTTCTTTAGCCCTGTCCGTCACTGGTGCGCTTATCCTAATTGTGTATATATATATATATATATATATAATAAAAGATGAAATGTATTGACTCACCGTGATTGGAAGGGGATCTGAACGGATCCTGGTCGTGTTCTTGCTGCCTTGGTCGAGGGCTATATCCTGAGGGAGGCTGCTCGAGGTACGGTCGCTGCCCGAGGCCCAATGCTCTGAACTGTTGCGACTGCCCTAAAATACAATCAGAATTAGAAACATTATATATAATTTAAAAAAAAAATTAATAAAATGGGCATTTAAAACTATTTGACGTAGTAACGAAAGAACACTTAAAAAGTTAATATGTGCTGCGCAGAACGGCAAGCGTCCGTGGGGTAGACCGAAGCGAAGGTGGGAGGATTACTTTAAGGCTGATCTCAAGGGGTTTGATTTGGACAGTGCTCGGTGGACGGAAGTCTGCAGACAGCGATTGATGGTATCGGCATATTTGAGTTATAATTATCATCATAGTTATTATTATTATCATAGGTGCAGAAGGAAGAGATAATTCTGATTGGGAGAAGGAAGAGGTGGCAATGGACCCACAAAAAATGTGTCAGGAGTTTATATTATATATAAAAATTTTGATAGCTGATTAACATAATCAACATAATAATTCTAAAACGAACAATATAATAGTATATATATATAAATAAATGTATAAATTTATATATAATTATTTTTACGTACGAATATATTTGAAAATATATACGATCAATAAGTCAGTCAAGGGTTTCAAATCCCGAATTAATTAAGCTCTATACGAAAAACAAAATTTTCTACTTCAAAGCCCAGGAAACCTGTACTTTCTGTAACCAATTCATTACTAACAGCCTGTTCCATATCCTTCTGTACTGTGAAAAGCTAACAGACGACAGACACAAACATTTACGAGCATTTCTCTCTGCACCAAGTGATGTAAACAAGATACAAGACATACTTTGAATCGATAACATAGAGAAACTTAACAAGATTTACTGGTTCATAATGTCAGCGTGCAATTCACTGGATTCCTTAAGCTCTGATGTTCCACACACCAACCATGACTGTGTGTGACTAAGGATAATTGTTGGTCAGTTCAATTAATTGTTTGTTTGATAATGTATATAGAAATTAATTGGAATGTAACGAAGTATTATTGTTTAGTTATTGTTTTTATAAAAAGTCAATGTACAGTTACGATAAACTAGACTCATGTAGGTGAAATAAAGTTATTCATGTATGTATTATTTGTACAAGGTTGTAGAATAATCTTTAACAAATAAATTCAATTCTATTCTATATTGGAAAATGTATCAACTGAGCAATTTCTCAGATATTGTAATGAATATATTACATATTTTGGTTTATTATTTTCAATAATGAACCATTATAATCGTTAAAAAAAAATAAAAATTTAAATCCCCTTAAAATTTGAGGTTTCACCTAAACGTATAATTCGAAAATCGAATAAAAATTTGTTTGTCCGTCCGCCGTCCTTTTTCTCCGAGTCTACTGGTTCAAATTTGGAATTTAATTCAGAGGTCACCCGAGGATGACCCTCCTACCTCGACATTACTATCCGCCCTTTCCTTCCAAGATGGCGACCGAAAAACCTGTGTTGGTATAGACTAAACTAACGTACCAATTTCAATGAAACTTGGCTAAAGTCTTCTTCTCTATGTAATGTATCTACATAACATACTTCAACGAAAAGAGGCTGAAAAAAAAGTTACGAAGGATGGTAATATTAGATTCCGAATAACTCTATAAGTATACACATTTTTGTTGATATTGTATGGTTTTTTTAAAAGTTTACGGAATTACATTTAAAAAAAAAAAAAAAAAATCAGACAATTTAGAGCAAAAAGATGTTTTTTTATATGTTCTACTGCAAAGGATATAACCTTTGTTTTGGATTTTGAATGTGTTACTGAAGCAATGCTATTTTTTTTTTTTTTTTTGCGCAAGTAACTAATGATGAAAAAAAAAGGTTTATGCTTATAATTGGAATCACCTTTTATTTCTTTTTCTTTGCCACAAGGAAGGTAATATTACTTCAGATATATAATTGTTTGGAAATAAAAAAAAACATTGTGAAATAATCTGTAGCGTTTCTTATTTATATTTAAACGGATTGAGACAAGATTTGTAGATATTTATATTCGTAATTTTATCTCAAACATAAATAGTTCCATATTCATAATTAATTTTTTTTTGCTTTATGATTATATTAATGAGGATTATACGGAAAAGAGACTTATATAAGTATTGGTAGTAATTTAAACTATAGCAGTCTCAAATAATAAAATAATTTATTTTAATGACGTACTTCAACGAAATGAAGCTGCAGAATTAATTTTGGCTTATTGATAAACATAATTAATACTGTAGTCTTTTCACGAAACACTTTACACATTTTATATTTACATGACCACTTTTCATCGAGTATTTATTATGTTTTTCCGGTAAAGACACAATTTCTATAACCTTGACTGTAACTTACAGTTTTTTACATAACAATTAGCTGTTCTTTAAATTACTGAGTTTTATAATGAGACATCGTAGATTTAATTTTGTAGGATCAGGATATGCGCCAGGAAAAGACTGACCAGAAAAGCTCAAAATCTCATTTTCCAAAGAAATTGTCATCGGTTGATTTTGCACTGTGGCTGTCGATATAATTCTATTACTGGAAATTTATAAGCTATATCTGAATATTTTTCTTTTATTTATTAAATATAGCAAAAAGTTTATTTATAAATTATCCGAAGTTCCCAAGAGATCTCAGAGCTATTCTCCACAATTTTTCAATAGATATTTTGTATCTCGAAGACCGCATATACAACATACATAAAAAACTTAAAAATGAACTGAATAATATTTATAAATCATAGAATTATTTAACAGCCCGTGACAAGGAGATGTTTTAATTACTACAGGCAAACCCAATGGAATTAAAGACAAACGCATGACAGTACGAAGCGCCCAATTACAAACATGCAATTACTTGTCACAGAGGCTGTAATTTCGGGACATATCAATTAGTCAACACGGTAGTTGTACATTAATTACAACCTTACATCGAACTATAGTTCGGACCGATTTCACATTTGATACAAAGCCACAAACGAATGAAAATTTTTATAAATAATATCGCTATACATTGTTGGACGACTCATTTTGAGCAGACTCGACTTGTAAATAATCTATGTCGCGTGTACAAATTGTCAACCTCCTCAGTTTTCTATAACATCAATCATTAGTTGTAGTCATACAACCATTGCTAAGAATTGTAAACCTCTTAAATGTGTAAAGTCGAGAAAATTATTTAAGAAATGTGTGTTAAATATCTAGCGGCCATATTTAACACACATTATTATTAATTATATATATTTTTTATAGGTATTACATTTTATTTTATTTGTTTAAACACCAGAATGCCGAGCAACGTAAAGAACTATGTAATCAACTTTTCAGATACTGTTGTACATTTATACATGCGATTTCTAAATAACTTTCTGGTTGTTTATTGTGTATGAGATACATTAAGCCCTTAATACACCTCACAAAAAATAAAGGTGTATTAATAAAGAGGAGCATATTAATAATATATTAAGACAGGAATAAGAAGGCAGAAGGAGGAGGATGAAATCTAACAAGAGGCGGAAGACCTACCTCCTCCCTCCCCATTCCTCCACTTGATGGGTTTCTCCTCTGTCTCCAGCTATCGAAGACAGGAGCTCATACTCTTCATCGTCTAATTGCTTGTCAGCGGCATCTGTGTCCAAGGGTGCTCATCTGACCTCCTTCGGGAGGACTCGGGGCTATTTCTCCAGTATAAGGAATTACAATCGTATTGGTAAATATAATAATAATAATCTGACAAAGATAATGGCTATCGCATAAACGCATAAACGCATAAAGAAGAACTTGTTATTTTTTTTTTTATTATTTTTACTTCCTACACTTACTAGACAAAGGCTCCAAACTTTCAATTACTTACAAAAGACTTATATATGTGACATAACAAGGCCTATTTGGACTTACAAAATCGAACTTTGGAGCTCAACTGAACCATCGAATTACTCTCGTATTCAACCCTTACAATCCAAAATCATTCGTAAAATCCTCAATGCATACTTAGTCACAAATAAAATAATCCATAACGACCTTAACGTACCATATGTTTCCGATTTAGCCCAATCCAGATACATATCCTTCCATAATTAACTTCTGAACCATCCGAAGTCTCTGGTTTCCAATCTAGCTTCCTCTTCTATTCCTTATAACCCTCCGAGGCGTCTGAACAGAAGATGACCTAGGGACCTTCTAGCATAAAACTTTAATTTGAGTTCTACCAATGGGTAGTTTCTCTTCATGTTTTACATGTCATATTACCAATGTCACATTTACTAGTTGTATTTTGCATGTAATACAGTTGTAAATTTCATTAAAATAAAAAATTATTTTTACTGTTTATCCATAATCTTTTATGTAACATATTAACAATTAATATGTTATATAAAAGACTAATATTTTTATCAGTCGTTTGTTTTCCTAATCGGATGTTTGATTATAACCTTCCCTCGCTGTGTTGCCTTACCTTCCTATCAGTAAGCGATTTGATTTCATGGATTGATGTTCGATTAGCTGCTCTTTTCTGTCATGACGATGCTTGAATTGGCGAAAAGTTGACGGGTTTTTTTGCCTCCATTTTGGAGACATAGGGCTGTGTAGTTTGGAATTTTTCCAATAATAACCTAACATTTATGTTCTGTGCCTTGGTTATTTTCTTATTCATTTATAACATATTAATAATATTATAGCAATTTTATAATATATTATATATTTCTTTTCCTTTTGGCATTACAGACCGTGTAGATCTTTTTTCGCCTAGGCCAGTCTGTTCTATCTTTGTCTATCTTAGACTATTTCTTTTCAGCTATCTGAATGTAGCTCTATCGCATATCTGTTGATTCGATCTGGTTTTTGTCCTTTCTTTCTAATACTGAGGCATTTAGTGTTGTGTAGAGGCTTCTTAATGGATTGTTCCGGGCTACATACCACGCCCATCTTAATTTCCTTTCCTTCATATCATGTGATATTGATTGAACATTTTCTGTAAGTAGCTCTTTATTGGCCTTTTCCCACCATGTGTTAGTACTCAGATCGCTCCGATTATCGCGCGGAGGATTTTTTGAATACTTCTT